CATATACTCAAGTGGGAGTGGTGTGTCTTGCCATATACTCAAGTGGGAGTGGTGTGTCTTGCCATATACTCAAGTGGGAGTGGTGTGTCTTGTCATATACTCGAGGAAGAAGGGTGGGGTGCGCTTTTTTTAAAAAGGTTGAAAAACCACTTGTCTAGCATCATATGCCAGATGCATCAATGGCGGGAAACGCGTTCTTTGATTTATTCCTAACGCTTTCCAGACAATCATCTTAGACAAGCGACACCGACTCTTCGTCTTTGTCTGCTTTGCGTTTACCAGCTGTCAACTCCGGTGGAAAGATCTGGTTGTTCGTCCACTTCTGGGCTGTAGTCCTGTTCCAGAGCCTGGGTGTTGCGTGCGCATCCGTTTTACAGATCTCAAAAACTGTAGCATCAACCATGCTGGGATACATACCCGCACTATAACGCTGGCGGGTCTGCCACAGTCCCGCCAGGTTCAAACATAAAGACCACAACGACCGCGCTCTTCTTTCTCTACGGGTCTGTAAATTACCGCTCATTAACTCCATGTGTAGCTGTGACTAATTCCCGTGTATATGCGCTCATGTTGGGGAGTAAATAGATGAACATGACCAACTCTGCATTAGTCAGTCTCATTAAAACACAGACGAAGAAGTTGATAGCAAGCAAGCTGCGTCCATACAGGCACACAATGTATCCAGAACACCGGGGTTAGAAATGCCGGCTGGATATTTTCGGCAATGGTTGGCAAGCAGCTATCAGGAAACAAACTTTATAAAGCTACACTCACAGGAAAGTAGCCAGAAGCTTCCAGTTTATAAAGTTACACTGAGAGAAAAGCAGCCGAAATTACCACGAAAGATAAGTACCGGAAAGAAAGAAAAACCGGTGATGGGAAATACTGACTAAACAAAACAGTATCACTGGCTGGAGAGAAGCTTACACCTACAGAAAAGTATGTGGAACTACAAGGAAAAACACAAAGTGTATAACGTTACACTCACAGGAAAGTAGGTGGAAACTACCAGGAAACACGTGCTTTAAAAAGTTACACATCCTGGGACGTAGATAGAAACTATATAGAAACAAATATTAATAAAGTTACACTTACATGAAAGTACTTGGAAATTACTAGAAAACATAAGCTATATAAAGTTTCAAAGTTACACTCACTGGGAAGTAGACGGAAATTACCTAAACACAAACTATCAGGAAACCTCTGAGGATTTGGAAAAATGACTGGCAATTTTCCAGAAACAAATTATATAACTATCAAACGAGACAGGTCTGCCATTACTGTCTGTATTTATCATACTATAGTACAGCTATGATAAAAAATGGGGACAGTGGCGGCGACGTGTCTTTGAGCCAGCGGATTCAGGGCGGCCCGGCTGGGGCAGTTTCTGATAGACGAAGCTCTGTACAAAAAAAAAATGCACTGCATTTCTTTCTGTATTTTTTCTTCTTTCTATAATGATATGACTGAGAAGGCCATTTCACACAGACATGTTAATTGCGTATCCTTTACAGGACGTTGAAGAAACCCTAGAATTTTTTGCTGTTGTGGTTTTTCTCGGCAAATTTACGTCCAGTAGTTTGCCATTTCTTCTTGGACGGTCAGCTTCTCGATACCACTGTCGAAACCATCGCAAGGCGCTAGGCGCGCAGCTACGATCGAACCCGGCACTCCGGCATTACGAAGTGCGTGCGCAACGCCTTTGCCACAGACGCCGACTCACACAGAAAGAAAGTCGAAAACAACAAAACTACCAACAATTTCTTCTTCGCGTTCACTGGCTGTAAACTCCGGCGGAAAGTTCTGGTTGTATGTCCAGAACCTGAGTGTTGCGTGCACATCCGTATATCAGAGCTGAATTAACTGTATGCAGACTGTTGGTTCCTTGCCTCCCAAGCAGGAGCGCTCTGACTTCGAAGGAAGCCCCCGATTAGTCGAGTCCTATAACATGCTTGCTGGGGTTGCAGAGGGCCTATAACTGTTTTTAAAAAAAAAGGACACCGGAACCCACAAGGGAAACCAACAGTCTGATAGCTGTATGAACTCAAGAGAAGGATAGCCGTTCTTCCTACATGATTAGCAGACATTTTGGCGGCCCACCTGGTCTCTGAACCCACGAGTTGAAGAGCACTGACGTTGTGTGTCCAGAAACATTTGGATATGTGTATTTAGCTAAAAAATGTATGGCTTTCTACTGGGAAGTTTTTTAAAAATATATTATTGTAGTAGTGCACCTGGCGAGTTGCAGCGAAATATGACTGGCAATAAATTGTTCTATATTACGTACAATATTAAGGAACATCGTGATGCAATTCAACAGCTGCGACATTTTAGAAACACTTAAGAATAAATCCTTTATCGCACTTAATAGGAAACAACCATCTCTTTCCCCCATCAACCCTCTCTCTCTCTCTCTCTCTCTCTCTCTCTCTCACTCTCTCTCTCTCTCTCTCTCTCTCTCTCTCTCTCTCTCTCTCTCTCTCTCTCTCTCTCTCTCTCCACAGGCCTTTTGCCTAATTCCCCCAGTAAAACATTCTCTGACAGCGCCTAGTGGAATGTATCCCGCCGTTCAAAGTAGCCTAACCAAGTAATATTCCTGAGATACTTAAAAGCACTCCTCAAATGTGATTTCGCCCCCACGATGTGGGAGATGGATGTAATGTAGAGCTTCAAGAAATAACACATGTCAGAGGCACATGTGAACGAAAGCTCTTCCCGGGACAGAAGTGCGAGGACGTCCGTCTTCAATTTGTTATGTAAGCCAAGGCAACGGTTAACGTAAAACAGTTTGAGATTAAGCGCGGGGGAAAAGTGTGGGTGAGTTATGTTGATAGCGGAACGCGGTAATTTTTTTACGTGCCGCACGAGTTTTGTGGGAACGGGGGCGGGGCAGAACGGTTAAGGCGAGAATACGTATAGAGTGAGACGAAATAGGGATGAGAAGGTAAGTGCAGATGGGGGAGGGGGAGGAAGGAAGGAAGGTATAAGTTGGGAGGCAGTAAATGCCGAAAAACTTGCCATCGCTAGGTGTAACTGATTGTAGTTTGAGAATACGTTGTTTGAGAAACTTCAACATGCAATGTGTATTTTATATATAAAGGCTATATAAAACCTCACCTTCACTGCACCAGATCTCTCGATGCAGAACGTCTACCGAGAGCGTGGCACAAATCACGAACACTGTGGCTCAAGTAACAATACATAGGATCTACGTAAAACTGCACTAGTGAACACACAGCAACGCTCTTACTACTACTACTTTTGTTTACCGGCTGTAAGTTCGGGCTGAAAGCCTTGACAGTTTGCGTACTATAAGGAACTCAGGCTTTCGTCACTTAACAACGCTAAAATACGATTATATTGAAACAAAGTAAAATCTAATTATTGCTAGAACAGCGTTAAAATCTGATACCTCACTGATATCTTATTAATGTTGAAACAACGCTCAGATCTGGTCACTTAAATAACAACCGGTAGTTATGGTTACTACTGAAATAACGCCGAATACTGAACACTGTCGATTACAATCTGATTGCTACTTCGCAAAGCTACAATCTAATTGCTACCGAATGAGGCTACAATTTGGCTGCTGTTGAAATATGGCTACAAATTGATTGCCGTTCAAACATTCCTACAATCTTATTACAGTTGAAAAAGTCTAATCTAAATGCTATAAAACAAAGCTACAATTTGACTGCTATTGAACAAGGCTACAATTTGACCGATGTTACTACTGAACAAGGCTACAATATGACTGATGTTACTATTGAACAAGACTTGATTGCCGTTCAAACATTCTTACAATCTTATTACAGTTGAAAAAGTCTAATCTAAATGCTATAAAACAAAGCTACAATCTGACTGCTATTGAACAAGGCTACAATTTGACTGATGTTACTACTGAACAAGGCTACAATATGACTGATGTTACTATTGAACAAGGCTACAATATGACTGATGTTACTATTGAACAAGGCAATCTATTTAATCAATCAATCAATCCATCTATTTATTCGTCTGTCTGCCTGCCTGCCTTTTTACCTACCCGCTGCCTGCCTAAAATGACTTCAGTATTCTGTTTCATATTTTCCACACACTTTACAACGCTCACCTGACGCACAGACACATGTTGCATGACTGCCAATTTTTATAAGGAAGTAATAATCAACATGTGTCTGTTTCTCTCTTTCTCTAGTCTTATCTCTATTGTACACTCGCTCTTATTCACCAACCCCCTCCCCACTCCCCCCCCCCCTTTTTTTTTTCTCAAAACGCCTTACCCTTAAGATAAAGCTCCAGGGCCGACAAAACGTTCCATAGCTGTTTACAACTGTTTGATCAATCGCATGGGAAGCAAAGGCGGGAAAAAGAATGACTGGTTACCCTACTTCACTACTCACCATGCGAAATACATAATCAACAGGTGTCTGTTTCTCTCTTTATCTAGTCCTATCTCTCTTGTACACTCGCTCTTATTCACCCCCCCCCCCCCCATTTTTATATTCCAAACGCCTTATCCTCGAGATCTACTCACCATGCGAAATATGCCGTTGATATCGCGTGTTGTATATATCAGCATGCCAGCGCTTTTAACACTCCAAAAACATGAAGAAACTGGTCATAACACAAACCCCTAGAGAGTGCTGCAACCTATGTCACAGGCATTCTCTTTCTCAGAATTAAAACGCAAATGCAAGACATCACAGAAAGCAAACAACAGCCGTAACCTTCAGGAAAGTCGACCAGCCGAACAAACGTGAATGAAAAGAGACCTACTCTATTTGGGGAGATTAACGTCAACCTAACCAAGTTTTGTATTATATTCCCTCCCCACCCTCGACCACAGATAGAAACAGACAGACTGACGGACGGACAATCAACAGGGAGAATGAGAGAGAGAGAGGGAGCGCTAACTTACTACACCAACCAAAAGAGCTGTCAACAGCAAACCAGAGCCATAAACAAGCGCAGACACACAACGGAACAACTTATAGACCTACCAGTTGGTTTGTCCCGGATCAGTTTGCAGCTCTCCAGCTCGCCGATGCTGGCAAACAGGGAGCGGATTTCGTCCTGGGACATGGTTTGTGGTAAGTAGTTGACGATCAAGTTTGTTTTGCTGACGCCGTTGTCCGAATGCGAGGGGGATGTAGTCCCCCCGTTCTGTGTGATGCCCATCTGGGACGCCTGGTCCATAATTGCATGGTCTCCGAGAGTGATCTGCAAAATACCAAAATCAGTCTAGAGAGCTGGCAAGCTTTAGTTGAAACAAAGTCAACAATGGCATACGAAACAAGTCTCAGCTTTTATGTCATTCGGATGTGATTATGCCCCTTGAACTGAGCTGAATTTCTACCCCACCAGCACATCACACAAGCGATAAACACCCGATGACACAAAGTGCCACCATGTGGATGAGGATCGCCGTGGAGAGGTCCCAGAAACCGCGTTCAGACATTTGGCCATATATATGGCCTGCCTATATTGCGGCCCCTGGCAAAAGCCAGATTAGGGCTTCAAATGACAAAACATTTCGTCCTAAAAAGGACGAAATTGGATATATCGCTTATGTGAGTTATTATGCCCCTTCTAATTCTATGTCCCTTGTGTAATGTTCTTATATGTTCCATATAGGTGTAAAATATTAGAGTGGCTATTCAAAACAAGTCTCAGCATTTATGTCATTCGGGTGTGATTATGCCCCTCCTAATTGTATGTCCCTTGTGTAATGTTCCTTATGTGTTCCATATAGGTGTACAATATTAGAGTGGCTACGGTGTCTAGGCGTGATGCGAAAAGTAATGGTCAAGTGAAAAGATTAAAGCTTGTGAAGGTGGAAAAGGTGTGACAAGCAGATGATTGACGGTGTTAAATTACTGGAAAAGCTGGCTTCACAAGCATGAATGACTACTACGGAAACACAAATGCACATTCAAGAACACAGAAAACAAACGGTTGTAGGGTAATATTATCATCTGTAACCGCATCTATGGTTAGTGAATAGGATGTCAATAATACAAGGTAACAAAAAAGTAAACTGGCATTGGCTCTATCGATCACCAGGATTATGTGGATTATTCCCCCTGATTACTAAGGCTAACAGATGACTCAGTGGCATACAATGAGTACAAGATTTACGTGAGACAGTACACAGACAGAACGTGATTTATGATTCTCTCAACCCCCCCCCCCCCAACTGCTGTGAGCAACGCACTATGTGGGACTGACTACTCTGTGTTAAAGGTCAGGAGGATTGACTTCACCTCATCGAGTGTTATCGCATATGGCTCGGTCTCTCTTTCCGGCCATATGCCTGGCGAGTACGACCGCCAGAGACCTAGCAACGACCACCAAAGACCCAGCAATGGCCACCAGAAATGTGTGTGCCTTAGTCAACATAAACTGTGTGACTGTATCTGACTACACATACATTTATGGATTCTTTTTTTTTTTTAATTTTTTTTTTCTTATTCACTCCAAACAGGGGGCATCCTGGATTTTCCCGGAAAGTCCAATATTATAGGGTGGTTAGAGTTATTCGGCGTTCACTTTAAACAGTAACACCCCTTTAATATTGGACTTTTCCAGCGAACTCCGGGTTCTCCATATTTGAACACACACACACAAAAAAACTATTTATATTTCTTAGAGGTGTCAGTGGCTTAGTGACTCGTAATTCCAACGTACCGCGATCAAAACCCTCTGCTGACTGCGTTGATTTTCATTGTGGTATAGGGCGTCGCAGGTCGACCCAGCCTAAATTGGGTACCAGGATGTATGTCCTTGGGAAGTAAAGACGGCCGGCGTAATGCTGACCAAATTACCCACCCAATGCCGATCGGTCTGTACAAATATGGGTGCTTTTCCCATATGCCCGATGCGCCTAAAGGCGTGAAAATGGATATTTACTTTACTATTTATATTTGTTACAAAGAGTGCGCATTTTATCGATGTGAAAAGAAATTAAATATTCTATGCAATCTTTCTTTGTCTAGTGAGATGAGAATTAAATCATGGAAAGTTGGACGATTAGTATATAGTTATTCAGAAGCGACGGAGATGTGGTTCTATGGCTGAATGATGAGAATACTCCGAATAGATCAAAAGAGTAACGAGGATGTCAAAAACACTGACTCACGAAGAGAACTGATATACATCAGAAAGATAAATTTTTTGGCCATGTCATGAGAAGGATAAAACTATACTGTGGTGGGACAACTGGAGGAGAAAAGAGGCAGATGGAGACTAACAGGGAAGATGCTGGACAGTTTGACACAATGGCATGAAAGATCATCTGTGTCAGAAGTGACTGAAAGTACACGAGACAGGAGGTTGTGGGCAAGACATGACTAGCAGTGTCATACAGAATGGACTACAAGAAGTCTCATAAATAACGCTGCCTCATCGCAACAAGCTTAGCCGCAAGATAAGCCAGTCAGCATCGCAGAAGTCTTAGAAGAAATGCAACTTGATGCAATCTTGGAAGATTAAACTTTGGCGTTTGATCAGTAAAGCCAATTAAGAGAAAAAATACGAAGAACGTTTAACACAACTATTAGCAAACTACAAACATTCATTAAATAGTTAGGTTTAGACGACGGATCAACATAATGGCACAAGGGTAGTAGCCCATAAGTGCTCCGTTCTGCTTCTGACTCAAGCCTGAGTCCGAAGAATCTCAGCGCAGTGCACGAACTCCGTAGCACCAGCGAGGATCCTGACTTTGGATAGATTTTTAACTCCTAATTTTGCCCGGGCAGCGCCGTTAGCCTACTCTTTGATCTTACTACTCAGAGACCAGGAGAAATAACTAGAAGTCCAAATGAAAAAAAATCCCAGCCTTCACCGGGGCTTGAACCCGGGACCTCCAGCAATCGAGCGGACGCCATGCCTCGAGACCACGCAACCCCCATTAAATGGTGCCTGCGTAGAACAGATGGAAATAAATGTGATGAGAAAATCATAAATGTGGGGCTAGGAGAAGAACTGAACAAATTCACGTGATGGCAACAATATAACAAGAATGTCATTGCCCTCGATAAACATGGCCAATAAAGAAAGACGAAAGCGCATTTGGAGATCACAAAACGATGACAACGAGGATAAGAAGGCGGGATCCATAGACAGGATACAGAGCAGAATACCTTTTTTTTCCCCTTAAATATCTTACGTCCTCCGAATTACTTTTAAAGTTCATTTTAATCTCGTTTGGTTGTCCCCGAAAACTTCAAGGAAAAAATAGCCATATATTTTAACAGTTCATTTGACTTTCGAATGGCTTTCCCTGGCCAGATTCAGCGGAATATTATCACTTTTTTTACGTGTTACACTTTTGTGATATTTGGGCTTTAGTCTAAACTGTTTGGACATTCGATGCAACCTTCTTGGAGTAGACATTTATATAGTAATGGAAAGAAATGCCATTATGAACAAGGTTGCATGAAAGAAAACGGGCATCTGCACCTCCATGCGTAGCCCACGAGAGAGTGCAGTAAACGCGTTTCAGGGAGAAGAATATCTACAGGGCTAACTTTGTACACAGACAGAATAGAGAGCACTCTTTTCTCATGCTAACCCACTGCTGCTGTTGCTGACTTTCGTCAGAAAGCACCCATGTCGGTATGCATAGTAAGGGGAAAAAAAACCAACATTACTGTTGCAAGAACAACATGATGAGCATGCCACACCGAGTGAGCCTTTTTTTTCAAAATGATCTTGGCTACCAGGTAGACCCAGCCTTCAGTGGATACCAGGTGAAGTCCTGGGAAGTAAAGGCGGCCGGCGTGATGCTGACCACATCATCCACTGTGTGCCGACTGGTCTATAAAAATATAGGTCTCAACCTAGACGCTCAATGCACCTAAAGGCGTGAAAATGAGTCCCTTACTCATAACTTTTCTTCCCTAAGGTATGTTTTATTTAACTCTCTCTCTCTCTCTCTCTCTCTCTCTCTCTCTCTCTCTCTCTCTCTCTCTCTCTCTCTTGTCTTGTCCACAATTGCCTCACAGCGTAGTGGGGAGTCGCAGTTTTCTATCCTGGGCCAGGTGTGTTGCACGTGTTGTTGTTAGTCCGTGTTGCCTCAGGATCTTATATATTGTCTATCCATCGTACTCTCGGTCTGCCTCTTGCTCTAGGGCAGTAGTGCTGTTCGTTGTATGCTCGTAGAGGCAGTTGGTCGGTTTGCATTCGCATCAAGTGGCCAAACCATTCTATTTGTTGCTTCTTTATGTATTGCAGGCATGGTGTGGTTCCTACAATTGATCTAATGTTCTCGTTTCGAACTCTGTCTCTCCTTGTGACATTGGCAGCCTTACGTAAGCATTTATTTAACTGTCTACTGCAAATAGCTTTGCCTTAATGTACTTATTAGACATATAATGTTCTATCTAACTTTCTAAGACAGTTCTTACATGTACTATCTATTTCAAATAGTTTAATTTGCGCTACTAAGTGACCTTGTAGTGAAGTTAACACTCGTCTATTGTAAGGTATTCTTTTTAACTGTCTTCTGCTTTAGTGTACTTATTAGGAATATAATTTAGTAAACTGTCTATGACAGTCCCTACATTTGCTATCCACTGCAAATAGGTTTACTAAGCAAGCTTTTAGTCTAGTTAACACTCGTATATCATACGGCATTTTGGCGTTTTCCAGTTCCAAGACCGATTGGGAAAGGAGAAGGGTTTGGTGTGCACGATGGTGGTGGTGATGATAATGATCATTATACTATCTAATGCAACAAGTTTCAATTTGTTGCATATATTCCAGTGAACAGTTTTCTATCCCCAAACAGATATTACTTCTTTATCTATTACAATAAGATTTCATTGTTGTACGTTTTTTTTTTATTTTATTATATCTGAAGGACTTAAAACAAACTACTTGATTAAAAAAAAAATAATCCTATGCATTATCTACGTCCGTAACTAAAACAAAGACAAGCAACTCTGTAACATGAAGCGTTCTAATTAAATTTCAAAAGAAAAACGAGGAATAGCCAAAACATATTTTCAGTACGGCAGTATTTTTGACATCTAGAGGGATAAACAACATATTACAAATTAAAACTAGCACATACTATGTATCATACTTAAAATCGCACTGTATGGTGCAGACAGATAAACTTGGTAATCAACTAAACAGTCGAATAGACTCAGAAAGGGCGTGGAGGGGTGGTTGGGTAACAGTTAATTACAAAAATGGGGGTGGGGGGGGGGATG